AATAATGTGCCAAACATTATTTGGAGAATAAGATTGGGAATAGGGATAAAAATAATAAGCCAAACATGGCCATAAAGACTTGTGTGGTTTATATTATATGGCACACCCTCTTAATATATGACAATTTTATAAGAATTTGTCTATGTTTGCTATCTTGAAATGCACGATAATACATTTAAAATTATACCATATGTTTTTTTTTTTTTTTTTTTTTTTCTGGGATATTCTATTAATAATAATTTTAAAAAATAACAATAATAAAAAAGAGATTTAACTTATCCATCAAACGAAATAATTATAAGCCAATGAGTTAAGCAAGTTTATGCTTGATGAGCAATTAAGATTACATAAAACCAAAAATTTCCTAAATTAGAAGTCAATTTGAAAATGTCTCCATCCCTAATGATTTTCTGGTGTTAAAATTTATGAAATTGGACTGTTTGAATGGATCGAAAGTTAAGACGAAAAGAGAATTCTCCTCAAGATGAACTCTTTAATTTATAATTTCTTCTACTTTCGAGAGAAAAAAAGAAAAATACTAACTCATTCACACCAAAAATGCATTAAATAAATAATTTTTATCTTATTTCGATATGTATTAAATAAATAATTTTTATCTTATTTCTAAGTTTACTCGACCAAACATTAATTTAACCCAAACCCATCAAATTCAAACCAAGAGTGTTTGGGCCAATTTATGCACATCTTAATTAATATTTTGGGACTTTAGAACTATCGATCGGGTAAAAACTTCAGTGGTTAGCCTTATTAGCACTCAAAGAGAGACTCAAACTTAGGATTTGTTGAGTAATACATTCAAGAATCTCTATCAAACCACTCGTCTACCCAAAAGTAGTTAAGCCTAAATCTATTAAGCCCAAACTCATGTTCCTATACTATTGTTTTTTTTCTTTTTTTTTTTCTTTTAATAATCTTACTATTCTTCAAAGCAAAGTAACCTCCCGACAGAAATCCTGATTCCGTAGCTAGATTCTAGAGATCATCATTCTGGTGTAGAATTAATTAATTTACTCAGCCTGGCTAAGTTGAGCTGCAATTGGACTTCTGTTTAGGCTTTGGGCTGCATACATTGATGGGTGCAAAACTCAGACACAATCCAACAGTGTAACGACAACATCAACCTCCAAAACCCATTAATAATGTGAGTGCTGAAATGTCAGCATCGGAAAGGTGACATTAATAGACCACACAAATATCTATAATTGCAATAATGCAGCCATCTTTTTCCTTGTACTAGTCATCTGATAGTGTTATCAAATTTCATCACCACGTTCTCAGAACTCAAAACTCTTGTGATTCTGCTAACATCATGGCTGAAGCTTCAATTCTCCCCGCTGAGGTTTTGCTATCTAAGCGTGTCAGGAAATGGTCTTGAAAGGCGAAGAACCACCGCCAAAATATGATGGTGATGCAGTTCATGAGGTTGCTGCTCCGTTTTTCTATGATTCCCATAATTGACCTTAGTCTTTGCGCATCATCGACGCCTGGTATGGGACAACAGGAAGAACTGCAGAAGCTGAAATCAGCACTTTGTTCATGGGGTTGCTTTCAGGTTCAAACTTCTTAACTTAATGAAGAAGTAAACTAGTTTTTCCTGGGTTTTAAGGCTAAGTCTAATTACATATTATGCTTGTCCTATAATACAATAATCTATAAGTTCTTGTAATTTTTTTATGCATTTTCAGGCAGTAGGTCATGGGATTTCTAGTACATTTCTAGATAAATTTCGCGAAGTTTCAAGGGAATACTTCAAACAGCCCATGGAAGAGAAGAAGAAGCAAGCGAAAGGAGTTGAAGATTTCGAAGGCTATGGAGCTGACCCTGTACCTTGAAGGTCAATTCTTGGATTGGTCTGATAGGCTCTTCCTCGAAGTATACCCAGAAGATAAAAGAAATCCTAAATTATGGCCAGAAAAACCAGAATCTTTCAGGTGCTTTCATGCTTCCCATGTCCCAGGTTGCTAAATACAAATATCAAGATGACATTAGAAAATTTCTGAAATTTTTGCTCATCCAAATTCTTGATTGTTTTGCTATTTTTGTCATGTATGAACCATTACAAATTACAAATGCGCAGAGGTATATTAGAAGAATACTCTACAAAGATGAAAAAGGTAACACAGCTTACTTCCAAAGCCATGGCTAAGTCATTAAACATAGAAGAAAATTGCTTTTTGACACAGTTTGGCGAACTAGCACAGTACCAAGCAAGGTTTAACTACTACTCGCGTTGCCAAAGACCTGATCTTGTTCTAGGCTTAAAACCACATTCAGATGGATCTGGCTACACCATTATACTGATGGATGCAGAAGGTCTTCAAGTACTCAAAGATGAGTAGTGGTTTACAGTACCTAAAATCTCTGAAGCTCTCCTAGTCCTTATGGGCGATCAAATGGAGGTATATATTTCTGTTAACTTGTTTCATAATCTAAAGTTGCAGTTTCATAAATTACCAAGCCAATGACTTGCAGATAATGACTAACGGGATATTCAAGAGCCCAGTGCATAGGGTGGTGACTAGCAAAGAAAAGGAGAGGATTTCCGTCACTGTTTTCTATTCACCTGAAGTAAACAAAGAGATTGGACCAGAAGACGGATTAATCAACGAAGAAACACCAAGATTATTCAAGAAGGTGAAAGGGTACCCTGATATACACTGGGGATACTACCAGAAAGGACAGAGAGCACTTCATGTTGCCAAAGTGTGATATTATGCTGTACTGTTCTGCGTGTTTTGTGCAAATTGATAGCTGCATAGTGAAAGAAATACAGCGTATTTGATATCAAAGAAAACAAACAATCACACACAAATAACCAACAGTAAAGAGAACGAACACGCGTAATTTATCCTAGTTTATCCAAAACTGGACTACGTCCAACAGAGTTGATATTTACAATGAATGTATCCTAAACCTCTCTCGTTACAATGAATGTATTTGCTAATAAATTGTTCTCGCACACTCATACAAGAGAATAACGTCTTTATATACTAGGTTTATTAAAAGAAACTTAATACTACCAGGATTCTTATTCCTAAATCAAACCCTATATGAGTTTTATTCCTTAGAAAAATCCTACGGCAGCTATTCATGGTATAAACCCAAACCGTTTATGGGTCGGAGGCACTGCCCCCTGCCAACTCACAGGGGAGCAGAGCCCCTGCCCGCAGCGGGACCTGTATGCGTCTGCATCGTCCCTTATTGTTGAAGTGGTCGCCAACTCCAACACATAGGAAGATGCTTAATTTAGATGTCACAACACTTATCTTAGTGAAATTTCTCCTTTGCATCCTTTTAAAGGATGATCCTTCACTGGTATAATTATGTATTGCTCTAAAAATTAACACTCAAACTTTCTCTCAAAAGATCAAACTTTGTTATACGTTTTCTAAGTGCATCTAGTACACTGCAATAAATTCTATGATTCTGTATTAACTATGAAGGCCAAATTAAAGGCACAGTCTTGTTCCTCGTCTCTGCAACTTATTTTAACCAAAACGCCCATTGTTCGCTAATCTCAATTAGCTCATTGCCTAACCACAACTTCCAACAAATGATTAACAGTATCCTTTGTTTTTCTTCCCACACATCCTCCTCAGTAACCTCCATTTTTCATATCACTCATTTTTCAGCATGCAAGACAATTTGCACAAAGGTAGTGATTTCCTTGCCCCTTGTTCTACATCACTAACTTTACACCAAAGTCCTGAAATTGGAAATGCAATAAAACAAGAATCTTATCATAGCAGCCATCATACTCAAGTATTCCCCAATCGCCCCAATAGATCTGCCACTCAGCAAAAATAAACTGGGTTTCTCAGAGGATAGCAATGTAAAATTAGCCTATCAGTATTAGTTTTTAACTGATAGATGCTCCACTTTCCTCGAGCATGATACAAATAAAGGCTCCCTAAACCTCAAATAAAGATCACTCCACACCACAGACATGTCCTCTATCCTCGGAAGTTCGACAATTGCTTAGATGACTTTGACAACAAATTCATGAGAATTGTGTAAGCTGAATCCTAGAGGAAAAAAATAAAATCCAAGAAAAGGATTTACCTTTCATTCTTTCAAGATGAAGTTTATCATTCTATGACAATACTTAACATACTTGGCTATTCTTGAAAATTAAGCTACAAGCCATTACGAGGAACATTCTCAAAAGACTTCCAGGATAGCTAAAGTGAGGGAAACTGATTTGAAGGTAAAATTGCGGCAAAGCAAAGCAATGAATTCTTGCTGATCTGAAAAGAAAGCATTGAATGGCTTCTGATATTAGTATGTGTAGAATAGGCAAACCAACAGGAAGATGATTCTAGTTCCTTTCCCTTTACATTAAATTCTATCAGCCAAGAAGACATTGACAATGAACGACTTTGACATAGGTGAGAGAGTTAATTAATTCTAGACATCATCATTCTGGTGTAGAATTAATTAATTTACTCAGCCTGGCAAAGTTGAGCCGCAATTGGACTTCTGTTTAGGCTTTGGCCTGCATATATTGATGGGTACAAAACTCAGACACAATCCAACAGTGTAACAACAACATCAACCACCAAAACCCATTACTGAATAATGTGAGTGCTGCAATGTCAGCTTCTGAAAGGTGACATGAATAGACCACACAAATATCTATAATTGGATGTGAAAGATTCCTTACGCTGTCGGCTCAGTTTTGTCCTAATGTAAAGAGTGCAATAATGCAGCCATCTTTTTCCTTGTACTAGTCATCTGATAGTGTTATCAAATTTCGTCACCAAGTTCTCAGAACTCAAAACTCTTGTGATTCTGCTAACATCATGGCTGAAGCTTCAATTCTCCCCGCTGAGGTTTTGCTATCTAAGCGTGTCCAGGAAATGGTCTTGAAAGGCGAAGAACCACCGCCAAAATATGTTTGTAGAGATGGTGATGCAGTCATGATAATTTACATAAGCATTTCAAATGTTTTCTTTTAAAATACAACTCACCAACTGTACATAAAATTGCATAAGTCACAAGAACCAATCAATTATGGAAACATCTTCTTGCAAGTGTAATACAAGAGTGACTGTAAAAAACCTTTAAGTGTTTTCTCATCCGATACCTTTAGAAGGTGAGCAACTTTGCAGAATCCTGCATGATATCTACACAGACATTCTTCATTTATTATTGGTTTCATCCCACTCCTACAACGTTTTGGCCTTGTAAGAGTCCATTGCCCATATGTCCAACGAATGCATGAAATTTAGCTCTCGAAAACAATCAATGGTGGTCCAAGCTTCAGGAGTTTAGAAAGAATAACTACGCAGAAAACAGCAATAAGTCAGTCAATTATCAGGAACAAATAACTCTGGAGCAGATATTTTTCAGTGTAAATTATGCAGAATGTAAAGTTTCCAATTGTAGTCGGCAGAAATTTGTCCAAAAGGCAGTAACCTGATGATGCAGGATGTAAAGGAAGGATGCAAATGGGTATTTAGTCCTTATCTTCTACATTTTAGGATCGAGTATTTGAGTCCTTGGTATCCCTTTCTTGATTTCTCCTCTTAACCTATTAATTTCTCTCTATCACCCTATATAGAATCTTATATTATCTATCTATGATATTCTTCAACCCCTCCATCACCTAAGGAGAAAAAATATTATCTACTAGACATTATAACTACCGGAGTTTTGTTCAACAATTCACAACATCAAGAATCTACTAGAAAATGGTTAAACGGTACATCCACCAAAAAAAATAAATGAACTGACAAAACAGATGATGAAATGAAATCTATACAGATTTGAGATAGATTTAGATCTACAAAACACAAACTCATACCTTAGTTAACAGCCTATTAACTAAGCTATAATATAACAGCTTTAAATAAACATAGGGGTTCTTACACGAGTGCATTTTCAGACCATGCTGCTTCATAGATTTCAATGGCAATTTGAAATCCCATATCGACCAAATCTCCACGATCATCGTACAGCAACTGCACATTTAACACCAGACCATATTTTTCTCAACTGCAATGTTGTCATTTTAACTGTTCCAACAGGTAGATCCCATTGACCGGCCCCTATTGTGCATCCATATTCTTTAAGATATTCTAGGGAAAAATTTTCTAATGCTCTTTTTGCTTTGTCTTCATCAACTATCGCTGAAGAAGCACATGCTCGTGCATAACTACATTAGAGACACACCTAGTAAGTTCTAGTCTTATCAGATCTGAACTAAAAAAGAATATATATTGAGAAACAGAAACATGTGAAACAAAATAAATAAATCAAGATATATAAAGCATAGATAATTGAGAATATCAATGAATGAAGTTAATCAGTTGCAACATACCATTGTCCAGTAAACTGATTAGCTAATAGATGAACTTGAGCGGCTACCATTATTGTCATAGTTGAAGTAAGAAACATTCCACAATTCCTCATATACAACTTTTGCTTACTGAAATTTACACCAAAAATAATCCTCAAACCCTTAAGATCTACTACATGTGCAAATCCAAAAGCAACCAGCAATGCTGCCACCTCCAATATACGTACTTACAACAGGGACAGATCACGTATCGTATGTCTGATCAGGAAAGCTATCATTCTCAATAATCCCCATCACCATCCCTATAAAATTCGAACAGATAAAAGTGTTTACTGAGCCTTCTGCTTACCGTAACCAATATAGAGCGTTTGGGCAGCTAGGTGAACTTTTGCAGGATTCTACTCCAAAAAAAAGTTTAATACTCGCTAAAGTTTTATCACGTAAACTTCAATTTCGCTTTTGGACCGGAAATTGAGGAAGCTCGTTCAAACATTCACTATAATTTTCGACCCTCATTAGTAACTGCATGACTAAGGACATTGTACATTCAGTCGGCTTCACATTTCTCTCCACCATCTTATGAAGGATTTCAACAACTTTTGGTATCTCATTATTCTTGAGGAAACCAAACATAAGAGTAGTAAATGTGACTACATTTGGAGCACAACCTTTTTCCTCCATATATGACAAGAACTCATGTGCCATTTCTAGTTGTCCATTTTTACACAGCCCATTGATCAAAATGTTATATGTTACAACATATGGCACCAGGTTTCCACGAAGACAAAACTTCTGAAATAGGTCCCAAGCAGTTTCAAATCTCCCTGTTTTACATAGTCCGTCTATGAGGGAACTCAAACCTTCAATGCTAACTGCAAACTTATTAATTACTAGAGTTTTAAACATTTCCAATGCTTCCAAAACACATCCATTCTTGCAAAGTCCATCAATGAAAATGTTATATGTCCAGGATTCAAGGAAAACATCGTTAAGTCGCATCTCACCAACTAAATTCCGTGCATCTTTCACCTTAGCTATAAGAAAAAAGCCAGTTAACAAGGTGTTATATGTAATCACATCAGGCCTAATTCCTTCTGAAATCATCTCTCGATAAAGACTAAGAGCTTCATTGACTTCTTTATTCTTGCAATACCAATTGATTAAAGTAGAGTAGCAAACAACATCAGGCCTATACCCCTTTCTAGTTATAGAATCAAACAACTCCCTTGCATCACCAATTCTATCTGCCAAGCAATAACCGTTTATCAAAATGGTGAAAGTATAAATGTTAGGAACCACACCTCTCTGAATCATATGTTCCAACAATAGTTGTCTAGCCTTCTCAACCAATCCAGCCTTACAAAGACCATCAATTATAATACTATAGGTAACAACATCTGGCCTACAAATAACACCAGATTCTTTATTCCCATTAACCATCTCTTCAAGCAACTTAATGGCAACACTTATTTTCTCTGTTTTACACAATCCACCAATCAAAGTGTTGCAAGTGATCACATTAGCCCTACAACCAACAGCAATCATTTGCTTAAACAATTCCATTGATTCCATAATCTTTCTCTCTACACACAGACCTTTAATCAAACAATTAAAAGTCACGGCATTTGGGCTAAAACCCAACTTCAAAATCGCCCCAAAAACCGCATAACCATCAGAAACCCTTTCAATATTACAGAAGCAATTCATCAAAATATTCAAAGACATAAAATCTGGAGACAACCCAGTTGAATTCAACAGCTTATATAGCGAAATCACTTCATAATAATGCTTCTTCTTAGCTAGTGCAGTAAACAAAGTAGTGAATGATGAAATTGGAGAAAGGGGTTTCGAATTAATCATGTAATAAAAAAAGTACAATGCTTCATTCAGAGTAAAGCTACCTGATCGACAATTTTCTTCGAGGAATTTAGCAAGTGAGGATCGTTCAAGGGGTTTTTTGAAAGAATACGAAACTTCATTTTTGGAGCTTGAAGATGTGAGGTTGTGTAAGTGAGCTAACAAAAATAAAACATTAACTTTCGAAGATGGGTTTTGAGAGATTGAAGACGAACGAAATGGGGATCTGAATCTCAATGCAATGTATGAATTGAAGAGTGTTTTTGTGGGTCGCTTTTCCGAAGTAAGGTCATTGCAAAGGGCAAATGCATTAAAGAGAAATGTTTTGACAAATTTCACAAACAACCTTTAAGGTTTTCAAAATTACAAACTTATGTCAAGTATCCATCTTTCCTACTCAAACCACCTTTATGATTTCGAAAATGGAAGGTTAAAAATGTAAATCCACATTCAGGTGTTTTTTTGGTTTCAGGTGGTTTTCCATTAAATATACCAAAATCGATATTTCACATAATCGAATGTGATATATTAAAAATTCAAGGGATATTATTTTTTACTTTTTAGAAATTCCATGAATAATGTTTCGTTATCATGTTAACAAGATTATTATGCTAATTATATTGTTAAAATATCTATATTACTAAAATAATAGTACGTATAGTTTAATATAATTACTAGTTTTGTATTATATAATAGAGTTATATTAGGAGCCTTGAAAGGTTTAATATAATAAAAATAATCAAATTTATAAAATAATAAAAATCTCTACTGTTAAATTATAAAGGTTAAAATAACATAATCAATGCAATTTCATAAATATTTATTAATTTTATAGATATATATTATAGCGGACTAATAGTTTATTAATAACGAGAGAAATTTTATTATTTTAAAAATCTTAAATGAATTTCTGTAATTATAGTGAAGGTCAAAGGAGTTGACTTGATGTCCTTAACACTTTATGATACTATTGTAATGTTCTACATTACCTGATCCACAACGTGCATTAGACATTAACATATATGATCAGCACATATCAAGTAATTAGACAATCGCACATACACATATCTCAGTAAAGAGCTTCTGTTATGAATGTGCTTCTTATAACATTGTAATCTCTGTTACCCCAATTGCTTGCAAAATTTGGAAACAATGGTATCCATCAAAACTAAATTCTAAAAACAGTTTCAAATCAGCACTTTGCTCATGGGGTCGCTTTCAGGTTCAAAATTCTTAACTTAATGAAGAAGTAAACTAGTTTTTCCTAGGTTATAAGGCAAAGTCTAACTACATATTATGCTTTTTCTATGATACATTATTTTTTTTATGCATTTTCAGGCTGTAGGTCATGGGATTTCTAGTACATTCCTAGATAAATTTCGCGAAGTTTCAAGGGAATACTTCGAACAGCCCATGGAAGAGAAGAAGAAGCAAGCGAAAGGAGTTGAAGATTTCGAAGGCTATGGAGCTGACCCTGTACCTGAAGAAGGTCAATTCGTGGATTGGTCTGATAGGCTCTTCCTCGAAGTATACCCAGAAGATCAAAGAAATCCTAAATTATGGCCAGAAAACCCAGAATCTTTCAGTTGCTTTCATGCTCCCCATGTCTCAGGTTGCTAAATACAAATATCAAGATGACATTAGAAAATTTCTGAAATTTTTGCTCATCCAAATTCTTGATTGTTTTGCTATTTTTGTCACGTATGAACCATTACAAATTACAAATGCGCGGAGGTAATGTTGGAAATAAAATAGAATAACATATATCCTAATATAATCCCAAGATCATAGTCGCCATTGCAATCACATTTGTATATAAATGAACTACAATGAATTAACACAGCATAAATACCTCCTTTCCTTATCTCTGAAGCAACAAAAGTAATCTGGAAGAAAAACCACGAATTGTATTTCTGTTTTCCAAATTCTAGAGAGAGAGAGCGTATTTTCTTTTTGCGTTTTTGAGAGTGACAGTGTAAGTTTAAAAGAAAGAACTTTTTCTTTTATATGTAACGGTTAGAGAGAAACTGCATTTGGCAGTTTCATTTCACACACGTCGCTTGGGGTAACCCATCATGGGTGTACCCTTATCCAATATCTCCCACTCACACATGATGGGACTATCTCTCTCTATGCTTCTTTAAGGTTCATACCTTAGTAAATATGCTGTGTGACCATGCATACTTCGAGAGCACGTTAGTCATATACTGTTAGGAATATATAACTTCTTGAATTGTGAAACTCAGGTTGTATGTTGTATGCAATACCCTAGATTACTTATCACATTTTTCTAACAATCTCATTTACAAAAAAATATCCGTTGTATTCATAATTATGTTCTATCTTTACATAAAAGTAAAATATAATTGGTCCACCAATGAATACACGTGATTATAATGTGATAATTCAAAATCGTAATCTTCCTCTTTTCTCGATTCTTGCAACTTTTATTTTAACTTGCTTTTTATAAATGTCCAGTAGATTGAATTATCTTAATCCTTTGGTAACACTCTAAGATAGCAATCATTAAATGAAGTTTTCAAGAAACGAATAGAGTACTAAGGGTATTCTTGAGATTTTATTCATAAAAAAACTCAGGGTCTCACACAATGTTAAAGTTGAGATTTTGACTTTCATTACCCTTTGGTCAATGTTTTGACACTGCGGTATGAATCCATGCTATAGCATTTCCTCCTTTCCCATGGAGTGCAGTCTCTTTTCTTGTAAATGCTGTACAGATTTTGTTTGACATACCTAATGTCTAACTTGAGTTCACTTTACATACTTTTAATTCATCAGAACTCTAATCTGGCAATTAGACAGATAAAGTGATCATGTATCACTTGTGGTCACATTTCATTATGACATTATTTAATTCTATTTTCTAGGTGACGTAAAAATTTTAAGTTGGCTCCTATTATCACCTAGATATAAGCTAAAATCGTCTCATCTCCATTCCTACGAAGTAATGGAGGCGATTGCCTGTGTGAGAAGGCCAATCTTTTAGCTGTCGACATGCTTTTCAAAATACACACACATATAATATATAATATGTACATAACTAATATGTATATACATATATGCTTCTTCATGTACGTTTCATATAATCTAATTGAGCATTGACAATATTGTTATTTAATATTAATAAGACAAATGTGAACAAATTTGAGAAATTCAAAGCATAAGTACATTCAACACCTACGTAAGCCTAGAGATCACATGTCTATTGAAGTATCTCTTGGTATAGGCTTTGTGAATGGATCCGCAACCATGTCGTGCGTAGATATGTACTTCATGTTCACCTTCTTTGTGCCACCAAGTCTCGCACAAAATTATATTTGATATCTATGTGTTTCGTTTTACCATGATATTTGGGATTTAGTGTATGTATGCTGCTTGACTATCATAGTTTATTCTTACTGGTTCAATAGCAACATTAATTATTCCCAGATGATTCATGAACCGTCTTAACCAAACGGCTTCTGTACTGCAGCTGAAAATGCTACAAACTCAGCCTCCATTGTAGATAAGATGCATGATTGTTTTACTGCTCCAAGATATGGCCCCCCCCATTTAGTAAGAAAACATATCCAGAGTAGATTTCCTTTCATCTAAACTCCCTCCCCAATCAGCATCGGTGTAGCCTCTCAAGTGTAAATCATTTCCTTGATACATAATGAGTAATAGCTGTCCCTTTTAGATATCTTAAGATTCTCTTCACTGCTTTCCAATGTGCTGTCCTGGGTCGGACTGGTATCTACTTACTAACCCAACGGCATAATAGATGCGACTCTAGTGACATCATGGCGTACATGAGACTTCCAACAGCACTTGTATAAGGAACATTCTTCATTGTTCCTTTTCTTGTGGAGTCTTCGGACACATTTTACGACTTAAAGTCTCGCCTTTCGCGATAGGGTGTCTATGGGTTTACAATCTTGCATATGAAATCGGCAAGAATTTTCTTAATGTTGGTTCTTGTGAAAGAGATACTAATTTTCTTGAGCGATCTCTTGAAATCTTGACTCCAGAATATATGCAGCTTCACCCATATCTTTCATCTCAAAATGAGATGATAACCATCCTTTGATTTCATTGACAATCTCTTATCATTTCCGTATAAGTATATCATCAACATATAATGATAATATAACAAATTTGTTATTGGATCTCTTTGTATATACACAAGATCTTCATTTATCATTTGAATCATACGACATTATCGCATTATGAAATCGAATATACCACGCTGAGGACTACTTGAGGCCATAAATTGACTTTAAAAGTTACACACTTTGTGTTCTTGACCTTCTCTAATAAAATCTATTGGTTGACAATAGATTTTTCTTGTAATTCTATGAGAAAAGCAGTCTTTACATCCATTTGATGCAATTCAAGTCCATGCTAGCAACTATAGCTAGATAAGTCGAATTGAGGTAAACCGTAAAACAGGTGAAAAAGTTTCTTCATAATCTATTCTCTTGTTGTGTATACCCCTTTGCGACTAAGCGAGCTTTGTATCTTTCAATACGCCATCAGCTTTACGCTTGATTTTGAGAACCCACTTGTTCCCAATGGCTTTACGTCCTTTCGGTAAATCAACCAACCAACTTGGTTTGATTTCATAGACTCCAATTCTTCTTCCATTGCTTTCATCCATTTTTCCTTAGAAGGGCAATTGAAAGCCTCATTTACATTCCTTGGCTCTTCGTCATCTTGTGGAGTAACTAGAAAAATTTCCCCCTCAATCTCAATCATCGAGTGAAACTTGTTTCCTGTTTGATCGACGTATTGGAGATTGATTGGTGTTACTCCACTTGGATCAGCTATCAGAGTTGGATCGTCAGTAGGGAATGATGGAGGATCTGAAACTGATTCATCAAGTTCCATATTGCTCCCACTGGGATGAAGTATAAACAACTGATTGTCGGCAACAAAATTGCCTTGGTCTTGTGTTTCATATAG